GAAGGCAGGCAGGAGGAAGGCAGGCAGGAAGGAAGGCAGGCAGGAAGGAAGGCAGGCAGGAAGGGTGAAAGGGAAGGGAAGGGCGGAAGGGCAGAAGGAAGGGTGGCTGGGGAGCCGGGGCTGGGCTATGATCTTCAGTGCCCACCCCCTTGGAGCCCACTTACCCGATCTGTGTGCCACATTCCAAAAGGCCCACAACCTCACAAAATAATGTCACCACCAAGCAAACAGGTATTAAAACCAAGGAGCCTGTGCAGCACATTTCCCGTTGAAACTAATGCATTCTTATTTATATTTTTGTTTTCTTCCCAAATAATAGTATATGCAAATTAATATTAATTTAATTACAATCATTTCTTCACCCAAATTGCTGTATCTTACTGGATCACAATCTAGTCTTTGGAGTTCCTTTACTGATAGCACCATGGGTTGCTATTCTAATTTCTTAGAAAGCTTTGATAAGTACCGCTGTTATTAGGAGAGTGGAATAAGCGCTAAGGAGAAAGTATATATGACTTGATGATAAATACTGGGTACCCTGTTGGGAATGCTGTTTTTCATAAAGTACACCAAAATGCTTCACTTTTTTCTTTTCCCTTTTGTGGTCAATGCCAAGTTTGGTGAGGAAATTTTACTGCCTTAGTTAGGGTTTCTATTGCTGGGAAAAGCCAGCATGGCAGCTCTTATAAAGGACAACCTTTAACTGGGGTGGCTTCATTTTCAGAGGCTTAGTCCGTTATCATCATGGTGGAACATGGTGGCTTGCAGGCAGACAGTGCTGGAGGAGAAACTTGAGAGTTCTAGATCTGCAGACAACAGGAAGTGGTTTGAGACACTTCCTCCAACAAGGCCACACCTCCTAGTAGTGCTACTCACTATGAGTTTAGGAGGGCCACTCAAACTCAAACTACCACATATACTAAATGGTGACCTCTAGGATAAAATGTTGAGGGACATAGTTAATTCTTTATTTAAGTAATTTATAGCCTGTTATAAATAAGACTGTGTAAACAGTAGGCACTCAAAAAAACTTCATTGAATCTCTTAAATATTTGCAATGTGCTTTTTCTATATGCACTGTGGCAGGTATATATTTGTTTTGGTTTGGGTTTTTTCTTTTGTCATCTCACAGTTTCTGGCCATTTATGAATGGCCATCAAGAATTACCAAGTTCTTTCTAAAAAAATACACATATAATAGGAATTTGATACTTACAAATTTATGTATATTATATGTATATTCCTCTAAGACACTTGTCCTTATAAATAACAATATGCCTTCCATGAAAAAAAAATATGCTTCCGTTCAGTTATCCTTTAGCTTTTTGGTGAAAAGAACACAACTTTGAACCATCTCCCTAGGGAAGTACATGATCCCAAACTGTGCTGATAGGTGGGAAAGATTTCCCCAAAGCCTATATGAATTCTCTAGTTAAGACCACCTGCTCTAACTTATTCAAGAAAGTACGGGCTCTATCAACTTCTGTCTGTACCACCACATATTATTAGTTGAAAGGCAAATTTGTTGAAAAGACTTTTCACGTCTTTAAAGAAGAAAATGTCTTTGCAGCAGAAAAAGATCTCTTGAAAACTAAGACTAAATTTGACCCTAAGAACCAAAAGGAAATTAGTCATCTATTCAACAAAACATCCCCTTGAGCCTATTTTAACAACCTACACAGAGGAAAACTCTACAAAGCAAAAGCGCTGGCCTGCCTGTTATGTCTGGAGAACAGAAAGCTTTTGCTGTTGTTGTTCAGATTGTGTTCTAGGTACTTCTCCCTTTGCTCTGATAAACTACCCCCACAAAAGCCATGTGGCTTCCAGCTCCAGGCATACAGTCCCCTAAGCCTAGGAAGACATGTCAGCAAGAACAGGAGATGTCACATTGAGTCCAAGGTCAACAAGCAGAAAGCCATGAATGCTATTCTCTCTTTGCTTTCTCCTTTTTATTCAGTCTGGGACCCCAGGTTGTCAATAGAATGGCCCACATTTAGGGTGGGTCTCACCACCTCAGTCAACCTAATCTAGATAAGCCTTCACAGGCATTTCTGGAGACTTGTCTTCTGGGTGATCCTAGATCCTATCGACTAACAGTCAATGTTAACTATCCCATGTCATCTCCATGTTTACTGTCACACATCATCTCATTGGGAGGTTGTCACCTGTGCCCCAGCTGGCTGCAGATGGGCCCCTGGGACCCTTTTGTCAGAACCAGAGTTCGCTCTTTCTGAAAGATGTTCTTAACGAGGCAACACTGATTTAACAAGGCGGAAAATATTCCTGCTACATGAGAGGCAGGTCACTGCGGTAGTTCAAATGAGAAATTAAGCCCATAGGCCCCACACTTGGTCCCCTAGTTGACGTTGCTCTGTGTGGAGGTTATGGGAGGTGCACATTGCTGGAAGAGTCTGTCAAGGGACCTGGCTTTGGGAATTCATAATGTGGCCCCACTTGTAGTTTGCTCACTCGGCTTCCTGTTTGTGGTTCAAGATGTGATCTCTTGGCTCTCTGCTCATGCTTCCATGCCTGCTGTATAACTCTCCACCAGGATTAGACTTTTATGTCCTGGGAGCCATAAGCTAAAATAAATGCTTCCTTCTGTAAGATGACGAGGTCATCACATTTCATCTCAGCGACAGAAAAGAAACATAGTATATGTCACCAACCCATCCCATATGAATCTTTGTCATTGCACCATGTTGGTCATGTTCTTAGGAGATAAAAGTTGCAGCCCCAGTAGAAGATTGAAAGGAGGAACAAGAAGTGACAAAGAAACATGTGTCTTTCTTGCAAAGACACATCCCACAAATTAATGTTGACTCACACCTCTTTGTTGTATCGGGTGTGCAAAGACACCCAGCAGAACCTGGAAACCAAGGGTAATAACCAATCCTTCATCAATTGCTTTTATGCATGTATACATACATATATACACACATAGTTTAAAGTTTAACTTGCAAATATACCATGGCAAGAGATTAACAATGGTAAATGGAACAGTCATAACACTGTTAAACAATCAGTTTAAAATGTAAGGACTACTTATTTCTTACATTTTCCACTTGATATTGCTTGGGCTGTAGTTAACTACAGACAACTGAAAATGAAAACTACAGAATTTGCAAAACAAGTAGCAGGGGATTGGATATAGTAGAACTTCTTTCACTCATAAGCCAAATTTAATCACACTGCCTTAAATGAATAGGCTTTTTGTTGTTGTTGCTTTGTTTTTTGGGGGGATGCATGTGTGATACATGGTTGTATGCATGAGGAATGTATACACACACGTGTGTGCAGGAACACATACTTCTGCTAAAGGCAGAGGATAACACCACATGTCTTCTTGTATCTCTCTTCACCATATTGGTTTTTTCTTTTTCTTTTTTGATTGGGTTCCTCACTGAACTTGAAGGTAGCCATTTTGGCTAGGCTAACTTCCTGGCAAGCTCCTGTGGTCCACCTATTTCCACCCTACAGGTCCACACTGCCATGTCTAACTTTTACACGGGTGTTGAGATTTGAACTCACATCTTCTTGCTCTCGAACAGCACTTTTATCCGCCAAACTGCCTCTCTTACCCCTAAACCTGTCTTTGTCATCTCTCTTCTTAAATTAGAATTTACATCCAAACTTCGGCATACACATTGAAAATGAACAAAGTTCATTTCATGGCAGCGTTTTGCTTCCTCTAGCATTCCAGAATGTTGCTGCAAATCTGATCATTAAGAGACCAAGACGTCAAGAGAACCATTTCTTGCAGGATGCTGCCAACCTACACCTTAAGGGTATCTGTCTGCCTTTGAAGATTTTATAATTGCCATTCGGGGTTCTTTTCATACAAACCATATTTTTTAGAGTGAGAGTTTAGATTTCTTTTTATTTTTCCCTGAGAAATATGCATGGCAAGTCAGAGGTTGAGAGCCAGTTACACTATTGTATAAATATGGGTGCGTGTTCTCTATTAACACTATTGTGTAAATACAGGTGCCTATTCTCTGTTGACAGTCCTAACTGTGTAGTTTTCTTTCCTTCCGTTTTTGTTGTTGTTTTCTTTAATTATTTCTTTGTGTCTTCTTGACATGGTTCTGTGTAGGCTTGCCTTATCTTTCTGTATAGCTGAGACGATGTTGAACTTCTCATCTCCCTGCCTCTGACACTCATGCTGGGATGATAGGTGCCCCTTTTTTGCTGTGCTGGGGATCAAACCCAGGACTTTGCATAAGATAGGCAAGCACTCTACTGAGCTGCACTCCACCCTGGTTGTCTATTTCCTGATATTCATTTGCTCATCCGTCGGTGTGTCTCAAAACAATGTGGGGCAGGTACAACCACACTGTCAGAAATGCCTGGTTCACATCTTCTTCCTGTAACATTTATGCTAACAGAACAACCAAACAGGCATTGGCTCATTTCTTTAACACTGAGGAGAAAACCAAGTTACATGTGATAATAGATCGAATTACTGTACTTGGTATAGTTATTTGAGTTTTATGTGATTAACCCTACTTAATGTCTTGTTAGATTATAAGTTCTGATACGAAATTTCAAATATAGTTTCTTAGAAATAACGTACTCTTAAAAGGTAGCGTTTTTACAGCCTTAAAAAGTATATCGTTTTTCTTCTTTTACCCTCTTGCTTTTTATTTGATGTGTGGTTGTGGGAAAAGTTTATTTTTGGTCATCGCACAGCACTTATCCCCATAAATCACCTAAAAAAAATCAACCTAATATAGTGCAACTTAAGAGATTCTTTTGGCTCTGAACTACATGTAGCCAGGCAATTCTAAAATTGTATTTAGCAAAGCTAATTTTTGCTGCAAGTATTATCAGCAGAAATGGAACACTTCCTGGTGATGGCCCATAGCAGCAAACCCTATCCAAAAGTCCCCTGAGGGGCCAGACACAGACTTCTCTCAGGTTCCTAAATAGCCTTGGTATGTGGCCAACGTGGTTAAATATGAACTGGCTGTAGCCGAGCTTCTAAAAGGCAGTAGGCAGGAGGGTGCAGCCTGGGCCAGGCTGGCTCCTCACAAGGAGTATCCTTGGCTTTTCTTCCTGGCTTGCTGCAGAGCACCGCTGAGTTTGAGAATAGCTAAGTACTTTTCAGCAGTTGATCTGATGTTTTCTACCTCTGTATTTGGCTGCTGCAGGGTCCTTAGCCATGGCAATGTGGCTTCCTGGGACCCAGCTGCCCCCCACCCCCCATGTACACCCTCAGTCGGCACCCTGAGCTCCTATGTCACTCAGTCATCTCAACCATAATTCTTCCTCGGTTCACTGGAAGGCTGGCCATGTGTCCTGGATTAATTAAGGTACAGAGCACATGGCTATTAGAGGAAAAAGAAGCAGGACTGGTGATGGAGCCAAGGACTTGAGTTCTAGCATGGGTTGGTGAAGTACTAGGTTCAAATCCCAGTAGCACATGATAACCACCCCCCCACACACACACACAGAGAGAGAGAGAGAGAGAGAGAGAGAGAGAGAGAGAGAGAGAATTAGATTATAGTGGCTACAAGAAGATGGTGGGGTACTCAGGCTGGTCTGGCATGTCATCCATGCACTCCACTGCTGATGTATGCCTCCACTATACCTGACTGGAGGGTACCAGGATTGTCTGGTCATCATTCTTTCTAGCCCACAGTTAAAAAAAAAAAATGGTGAGGACACAAAGGGCATTGGTGGCTCACGCCTTTAATCCCAGCACTTGGGAGGCAGAGGCAGGCAGATCTCTGTGAGTTCAAGACCAGCCTGGTCTACAGAGCAAGTGCCAGGACAACCTCCAAAGCAATACAGAGAAACCCTATCTCAAAAAACAAAGTGGTGAGGACAAAACCATTTCCTTTTAAGCAAATGACATGGATGAAAAATTATGCCAGTCACTTCTGCTCAAAATCTGTCAGCAAAATCTTGGTTGTGAGGCACCCCTTGTTATGATAAATCTGAGTCACTGCAACAATGTTACAATAAAGTTCAAAGAACCTTGCATGGATTCCATGGCAGGCGAGGGTGACCCAGGCGGAAGACAAACATGTCAGAACTTAAGTGAGAAGCTTTATTAGAATGGGGTGGGGAGAGGTAAAGAGATACAGAGGACAGAAGAGGGAGACAGGAAAAGTCCTGTCTGCCCCAAGGGAACAGCAGGAAAGAGAGAGGGAAAGACCGCATAAGAGGGTGGGGGTTCTGTCTTTTAAAGGGGTCCTTTGCATCTGCATACAGACTATTAGTCATGGAACACTGGGCTGACCAGGGCACTGCCTGAGTGCATTCTGCCAGGTGACAGGGGCAGGCCAGCATAATGCCTAAGTCATTACACTCGTGGCTTCAGAAGCAGCTTGGGAACGGTCTTTGAGTGGGTGACCATGTGCACAGATGCTCTCAGTCACCTTGGGACTGGAAAGAATTGGGAGCTGTGACTAACATTGATGACTCTAAGATCATGTCACCCCAAATCTGCTGTTATGTGAAGGAAAGGATACCAGTCAGTACTAGCACAGTTAAGATGAGTGCTCCATTTTCTAGAGAATTTAGAGACATTAAATAGAAAATAAACTGGGAGCATTGCTTAGCTGGGGGAGACCTCACAAAGGCCTGGGTGATCCTCATAACCTCACAAACCAGGTGCAGATGCACAGGGCTGTAATCCCAGTATTTGGGAGGTGGAGGCAGGAGGATTCTGAGTTAAGACTACCCATGCCTACATAGTGAGCTCCCGGCTAGCCTGGGATACACACAAGACCCTGTCTAAAAAGAACAAGCCTTCCTCTTACTTTAGCACATTGGCAAAAGCCAAATCGTCTCCATTCATCCTGGACAAGCAGCCGTGATTAACGCTCTAGTAAATCATTCTAAAGCCATCCATCGGAGTATTGATAATTCAGGCCCCTGCCCTTACCATGACAATGATTAATCAGCCATGTCTCTCGTTTTTCCTCCCAGGACACGCTTGAGATGTGCTCCAAGGATCAGGAGTTTAAAAGCATCCTCTTTTCCCTGTGCTACTTCCATGCCTGTGTGGCAGGGAGACTGAGGTTTGGCCCCCAGGGCTGGAGCCGAAGCTATCCTTTCAATCCAGGGGACCTAGTCATCTGTGCCAACATCCTCTACAACTACTTAGAGGCCAGCCCTAATGTAAGTGCTGTGTGTGATGACGCCTTCCTAGGAGTGGACTGAGGCTTCCATCTTTGGGTGCTATCAGAACAGATTGTAATTTCTTCTTTGAAGCTATTATTGAAAATAGCCAGTACTACATAAGCATTTTCTGAAAATAAACCAGATTAAAGGTTTTCATAAGATAGGTCAGACTGGTTCTACATCAGTAGTTTATGTAAAAAAAAATAATGTCCTTCATTATGTTAACAAAAACAGTGGTTTACATGTGCATATATGCCAGATTCATTAGGCAGGTAATGAAGCATTTGCACAAATGTAATTACATACAGCAGTCCTGACAGTTCATAACACTGCATTAATAATCACCACAATTAGTTCTGATGATGGAAGCAATTTACAGTGCGTCACACGTATAAATAATGGTGCATTTCCTGCATATGTCATTATTATGTATAAGGATGCCACCTTGTTGTGACTTTCTCGGTAATGTTCACCTTGGTTTGAAGTTAAAGGTAGATGGATGGATGGATGGCTGCATCTGTGAACTAAACCTGCAGATGGGCATGGGAATGCTTCATCAAGAACAGTTGTGTAAACTCTCATAAACCAAATGATTGGATTGTAGAGGAGAAGAACCGTTAGTGTCTAAGGAGAGCAGAGTGAGCTTTGTCTCCACAAGGGGAAGAACTTTTCCCATTAAGAGGCATCTATCTGTAGATGTATTTGTCAAAGCCATCAGAGGTGGAACTATGAGCCATTCCACCTGTGAACAGACTTCTCCATCCATGTGTCTAAGGACACGGTGGTTGGCTGTTCTTTTAAGTCACCATTGTCACAGGTTTTCCGTGGTGTTTTCCCAGGTTTTTTTGTTTTGTTTTTTTTGTGGCGGCCTGACTGCCATGACACTGTGCACATTCAACATGTATCAGAGATGCTTTCTCTCAAGGAACAGATTATGGCTGTGTTATTTCAAAGTAAATGGGTTTATAAGGTTTGTGAACAATAGTCCTTTTTTTCTCCTTGTTCCATTGTTTACCTTGCTTGTCTTTTGATTTTTGTTTATTTTGTTTTCTTTTTTCAGTACTAGAGATAGAATTTAAGGCTCCATGCCAGGAAAAGTGCTCTATCACTGAGACACACTCCCCAGCCCTCCTCTATAAAAAAGTTTGTTTGGCTTTGTAACTTTGTTATTTTATTTTAAAATAGGGTTTCACTATGTTGTCCAGGCTTGCTCCGAACTCCCCCTCTAGCCCAGGCTGCATGAACTTGAAATTCTCCTGCCTTGACTCCTGGGTAGCTAGGATTATAGGCCCATGTCACATTAGCATGATGTTTTATGCAAACTGTTGCATATAAAATGGAGCAGTGGGTCTTGGGGAGAACAAAGGTTGTGGTAGAGAACTGGGAGGGGTGGAGGGGAGGGGAGCCTGTAGTTGGAATATTGTTATGAGAGAAGAAAAAGAAAAAGAGGGGCAGGGGAGATGGCTCAGAGGTTGAGAGTACTGGCTGCTCTTCCGAAGGTCCTGAGTTCAATTCCCAGCATCCACATAGTAGCTCACAGCTGTGTTACTCCAGTTCTGGGCAACCCTGTGCCCTCACACACATATAACATGTAAGCAAAAACACCAATGCACATAAAATAAAAATATCAAAAGAAAAAAGTATGCACTACCTCATAGCTGGGCGGTGGTGGTGCATGCCTTTAATCCCAGCACTCGAGAGGCAGAGGCAGGCAGATTTCTGTGAGTTCAAGGCCAGCCTGGTCTATAAAGCTACACAGAGAAAACCTGTCTCGAAAAATCAAAAAAAAAAAAAAAAAAAAAGGAAGAAAGGAAAAAGAAAGAAAGAAAAAAGAACATTATTCTAACACTTTTGCAGGAAGAACTAGACCAGTTAATTCAGTAAATACTTCATCAATGTCCCTGAGTCTGGGTCCAGAAAGGCAGTCCTGTGTGGGTTGAGCTCTGTACATAATAGAAGAGATGGAGAGGAAAAAGGGCTTACGCTGTCTCTTATCAGCATCACAGTTGGTCTGGTAAACTGTTCTGTGACCTGCTGTTCTTTCTGTGGGCACCAAGGTCAACACAGCTTTAGGTTAAGTCTGTCATATCTCTCAGATGTCTTGACCCAAGTCTTTTGCCATACATTAGGAACCAAGTTATCAAGTTTTGGAAGTTTAAGTTAGAGTATGCATATTGTTTGGTTGTACAAAAAAATATTCTTGTATTGGTTACTTTTCTGCTGCAGAAACGAAACTCTATGACCAAGATAATGTATAGAAAAAAAAAAAGAAAGAAAAGAGTTTATTTTGGCTCATGGCTCCAGAGGGTTAGAGTCCATGGTGCCAGAACATGGCAGAGAGAGGTAGGTGTTGCTGCAGGAGCAAGAAGCCCAGAGATCACATCTCACCATGAGCATGAAGCAGAGAGTGAAGACTGAAAACAGGCCCAAAGCCCACCTCAGGGATCCTTTGATGTATTTCCTCCAACCAGGCTGCACCACCCTAACCTCCCCAAACACCAGCGCCAACTGGAGGTCAAGCACTCAAATGTCAGAGACAATGAGGGACATTGCCCATCCAAAACACCACAGCTCTTTACAAGAAGGTATTAGAAGACAGTGGTTAAGGGTTTAGGAGACAGATCAATTACTAATGTACTGGCTGCCTGAGGACCCAAGTTGAGCTCCCCAGCATAAGCATAAAAAAACTACTCATGGAAGGACATGCCTGGAATCAGAGTGTTGGAGAGGCAGGACAGCTTAATATATGGAGCTCCTTCAGGCAGCCAATCAGTGAGCTCCAAGTTAAGTGATAGCCCCTGGGTTAAAAAAACAAAACAACAAACAACAACAACAACAAAAAAACATGGTAAGCAATTAAAGATGCCTGATGTATAAGCCACTGGTTTCCAAATGTGTATACATATATGTGCATGCAAACCCCACACACCTGTGTACAACATGCTACCTCACACAAGGGTTTGTTTGTTTGTTTGTTTGTTTGTTTGTTTGTTTAAAAAAACAAAGATTAGGCTTAGGAGAATCAGTGATTGAAAGGTGCAGACCTAACTAATCAAAATTATGAAGGAAATACACATTGACTACTGACATGTAGGGAATTCATTCAATCAGAATGGGAAATACAGTTAAGTCTGTTTCTGTCCATTTCTGCTCTGTAGAAGGTATTTGTGGAGTGGTAGAGAGTGCCCCCTAATCTAGCTAGCTACTTCTCTTGTTTCTCCTTCATTTCAAGCCACCTTAAGAGAAGGAGACATTTTAGGTTCATTTCTTCAAATTTGTATAAACTTGTAGCAAGTACATTGCAATGGCCTCAGCAGTTTGACTTGTTCTGTTCTGTCACATCATGCCATGAGGAAGGCTATAATTATGATTTTATTTGAACTGTCGGGAGGCAATAGACTGCCAGGGAGGGTACAAAGGTTCCCGTCTAGAAAGGCTACATCTCAAACTGGCATGTTTTGCAAACCCAGAGGAAGTGAAAGGGCAGCAGAGAGAGGTTTGAACTCTGTGAAGCCAGCAAAGGAGATATGGTGATTTCTTGAATAAAACATGGTATGGTAGTTACTGCCCTTAGAACAATCTTGCCCAGTCAGTCTGCAGCTGAGCCTGAGTCAGTCTGGAAAACTGTTTGTCTGCCGGTCTTTGAGAAGAGTGATAGCAGTCAAGAGGACCCCAAATACAAATTGTCTAGCTGGTGCTTTCTTTTCCCCAGACACATAATAAAGACTTTAAATGAGGTGTGATGATGAGTCTTGGGGTTGCCAACTGGATGCACCTGAGAGGAGCCACCTCCTTCAGATTGGCTTGTCATTTGATCTGTGGGCATGCCTGGGAGGCATCTACTTAATTGCCAATTGGTGGGAGCAGGGATTCACCTTATTGTGGGTGGAGCCACTCCTAGGCAAGTAGACCTGAACTACATACAACAGCTAACTGAGCAAGCCAGTAAGCAGCCTTCCCGTGTGATGTCTGCTTCAGTTCCTGCCCTGGCTTCCCTCCATGATTGGAACCTGTAAGCTTAATAAACACCTTTCATCCCCCCAAGCTGGTTTTGGTCAGTGTTCTGTCACAACAATAAAAAGTAAAGTACAACAGCAGGTAACAAGAACAGGTGAGGCTGGAAGGCATGGGGAAACAACATCTTAGGATTTTTGGGTGAAATTCAGAACATTCAACTGTCCTATGTAACCTGTTCCAGAGATGCAGTAACATGCGGTGTTGTTAAAAATTTTGTCAAATTTATTAGAAAACACTGGAAATAATTCTCTTAAGAAGCTCTACACAAAAACCATAACCACACTTCAATTAGTGCTGGCTGACAGGGTAGAGGGGCACGTACTCCAGGCCAGCCAAGCTTGAGCAGATAGTCTAGGCCTGGAAGTGAACATTTGTGTGGTATGATGTGAGTTTTACTTGTCAGTTTGACCCAATCTAGAACCATCTAGATTGGGTCAAAGGAGTCTCGTGAGGGACTGTTTGGTCAACTGTGCCTGTGGGCATGTCTGTGGGGAATTGTCTCAGTTGGGCTAATGGAGCTGGGAAGACCCTCCCTGCATGGGGGCAACACCACTGTCTCATGGGCAAGGCCCTGAACTTCGTGAAGGGGTGGAGAAAGTAGATTGAGTTCCTCCTTGACCACATTAAATCATTCCCCTCTGATCTCAACTATGGATATGATGTGGTCAGGTGCTCACATTCCTGCCATTTGACTTCCCCAAAATGATGGCCTGACTTGAAATTGTGAGCCACAGCAACCATTCCTCATCATGTAGCTTTGTCTAGGCAGTTTGTTCCTGGCAACAGGAAAGGAAATAAGACATGTACTGTTTCTCCCCAGGTCCCGTGGGAAGACCTTCGTTACCTCTTTGGGGAGATCATGTATGGGGGCCACATCACAGACGCCTGGGATCGTAAGCTGTGCCGGGTGTATCTAGAGGAATTCATGAATCCATCTCTGGTAAGACATTTTAAAACTTTTTACACGGAGAAAGAAAGCTCCGGCAAGAATTTTTTCAGATTATTTTTACTATGTGTGTAGTTCTTAGATGTTCCTAAGGATGCTGGCCTTTCAGAAACATATTCTGCTATCCCTGTTGGGTTGTTTGGGAAGTTGTTAAATGTAGACTCATTGGCTCTTCATAATATCCCTATGAACTGGGCTGAGATGATGCTGTTTCTCCATTGTACAGATGAAAATACTGAGGCACAGTGATTGGTCTTGGACCTCTCAATGAGTGTAGGGATGAGCTTCAGCAGAGTATGAATCCTGTGATCTCAAACCAGGGTTCATTTCACTACCTTTGTTGTTGTTGCTTTGCCTCCACCATAAATCACAAAACATTCTACATTTTGATCAGTAAAATTATTAAATTGCTAGATATATACTCAGAGGAATTGTGGTACTTAAGTCTCTGATGTGATTGACTCATTGGCTTGACTGAATCATCCCATCATGTAGCCCTGAAGTGGGACACCCCTTTGGGGGCATTGAGATGGCTTAATGTTAAAAGTGTCTGCTGATAAACCAGACCTATTGAGTGCAATTCCTAGATCCCACATGGCGGAAGGAAAGGACAGACTCTAACATGTTGTCTGGGCTTCTGTGAGCACACTCCTGCACGTATGAGCATGGGGGCACATGAACACACCACACACACACACAAAAGTAATAACATCTCATGGCATTTCACAACCACATAGTTATAATTTTTCAATTTAAAATAAAATGGTAAGTCTATGAAGACAGTTATATAATGAGAATGTCAGCCATGTGTGAAGTGATGAGCTTACTTGGGACTTTGCTTCAAACAAACTGTAAAATAAATAAATAAATAAAATAAAATAAAATAAAAATAAAACAAGGGCTGGAGCGATTCAGGTGTTGAAACCATGGACTACTCTTGCCAAAGACCTGACTTTAGGTTCTAGCACCGAAGTCAGGTGGCTCAGAACAGCTCTGAGCTCCAGGGGATATGACGTCTTCTCTTGGCCTCCCCAGACACCCATGCCCACCTGGATATTCCTCAGAAACATACACATAATTAAAAATAACATTTTAAAATGAGATTATTATTACTACAGGACCTCGGAGTTCCTATTGTTGTTTTATGTGTGATAACAAAACAATATAGCTAGGTTTTTAAAATAAAGAAAAACATGACAATCCTTGTTGCTTCTGCTAGGAAGGGCAAGTTACCACTGACAAAATTTTAAGACCAAACATCTCTTTGTTTCTCATTGGATTAGCCCCGAGTCCCCATCAAATTGTTGTAGACCAGGCTGTGGTTTTTGGTGAAACTATTTAGTTTTTAGTTGTTGTACTGTAGGAGCTGAGGTGGTGGCTCCACTTTCTTGATGCTCTCTTGGTCTCAAATGGTGTTCAAGTTTAGGGCTGTCTGACTTATCTACTGCTATGACAAAACATCATGAACAAGATCATGTAAACAGGAAAGCATTTAATTTAATTGTGTTTAGTTTCAAGGGTTAGAGTCCATGATGGTAGAGCAAAGACATGGCAGGAGGAACGGCCCTGAGCTAACATGTCAATCCATAAATAAGAGGCAGAGAGAAGTAAATCAAATTGGTGCAAATCTTATGAAACCTCAAAGCCTGCCCCAGTAACAGGTCTTTCAGAAAGAGTACTTACACCTTCTAATCCTCTCCAAACAGCCACTAGCTAGAGATCAATCATTCAAACATTTAGATGAGTCTATAGGAGCCATTTTCAACCAAACCACAAGAGCCATTTTCTAGTTACTTGTTCTAAACTTGAAGATACTTGTGGTAATCAGCTTCACTGGTAATCAACTGTGACCAAATACCCGAGATAATCAACTTAAAAGGAGAAGATGGTTTATTTGGGCCCATGGTTAAAGAAGTCCTCATCCATGGCTAAGTGGGTGGTAGCTTAGCACATGAATGTGGGAACACACGGCTTAGGGGGTATGTTTGCTCCATGCCAGGCAAGAATTAAAAACAGGAGAGGTCAGAGGTCCCAATATCCCCTTTAAGGACATGCCTCTAATGATTGCATTTCGTTCCACTGGACTCCACCCTCCTAAGGTTCTACCACTTTCCAAGAGTGTCATAGACTAGCAACCAAGCCTTAATTCACAGGGGTGTTGGGGCAATACTTCCAAACCAGAGCAACACCCAACACTATCCAAATTCATCTAAACATTGCCAAAGATACTAACTTTATTTAGAGCAGTACTAGAGGAGTGTTTGTTGTGTTCAGTTTTGGCAATTTGAGCAAGGTTCTATTCATATTCCCTGAAAGGTTTCGAAGAAGCCTTGTGCAACTCAATCACCTTCCTCTGGTCCATTTCGAGAGGTTACATAACCATGTACCAAGAACACAGTGTGTTAGAGCATAGTCAAACATTGCAATGGGCACTCATTGTTTTTCCTTTTACTTCTTTAAATAGCATTGGCCATTATGAAGACAACAATAAAAAAAGAAAACTAGAGCTCTCTGTGGTGTGAGCATTCTTTATATCTTCCTTTGACTGGGAGTTTCCCAGTCTCTCTCTCCCCTAATGAGCAGGATTTCACACATCAGAAAGATACTTTCAATTCAGCGCAATCGGATGTTGCTCTTTGGGTCTGGGAGCGAGTTACCATGGAGACGAGAAAGATAAACAGGGCTCCAGAGCCACCTTTACAGAGGCTTATTTCTCCAAAGGATGGCGGAGGTCAAGGGGCAGAGCAGGAAGCTCAGGGGGTGGCCCCTCCCTGTGGCTAAGGGCAGAATTATTAGTGCCCCCCAAAATAGTTCATTAACCTTCATAAGGTTGAACTCCTGTTCAAATGATTTTAAAATACAGGTAAGGAAACTGGAGGGGCATTGCTGGTGTACGTGAGCCCTTTAGAAGCATAGGCGCCCAAACTTGCCCACAGAGCTAGTGAGATTCTCGGGGTGGAGATGCCTCATTTAAAGCTGGCACCCTCACCTGGCAGTGCTGCCATTGTCTCCCCAGGGGAAATGAATGCTGACTTCGTGTTCGAAGCTGCACATCCCAGTTATTTTCTCCTCATGCAAATGCTTCCCGAGCAAGCCGCTAACATGAGCTCACCCGTCAGCACCTGCAGGACATCTTTTTGTCCCTTCTTGAATCAGTTAATATGCTTTTAGAAGTTAAGAGTGTTGCTACTTTGGAACATGACCAAAAAGCAGCCCACGAATGGACCAGGTTGGAAATCCTACTGTTTGCAAAAGAGACGGATTCTTTTCAATGATGTCTTACTGCTAGAATGATGAGCTTCCTGTTGAATGAATGAGCTGTCTAATGGGAAGGCACCTTAAAGAGCCTTTGGGTAACTAAGGAAAAAAAGCCATTTTCTCATATAACACAAACCTTGGGCAGTGCTAAACAACAAATACAGCGTATTACTTTTGGGAAAGGAGATACAAAGCCACCTAAAAGTTACCATATAGTGCCAACTATTTGGATGGCATAGGTAATAATTAGGAATACAGGTTTAGAGTAGAAAAGCAAGCCTCCCCGGCCAGTGGCGGTGGGTGGGGGGCAAATTAAAATTCTTAAATTTGTTGCAGAGTCTGACTTACTATGGAAGCCCTCTGAGCAGCAGTTTTATCAAATATGAAGCAAGAATGACCAACTTAAGTTTGTTGTCAGGTTAAACACTGACAATTACTAGAACAATGTGCTTCTAAGTGGGAAACCTTTTTTATTATGAAGCATACATTTTTTGCAATATGTATTTCTTTCTTGATTGGGCAAACCTCTGTAAAAATGTTTTTTTTAATTTATTTTTATGTGAATGGGTATTTTGTCTGCATTTATGTCTATGCACCACATGCATGCAGTGCCTCTGGAGACCAGAAGAGGATGCCGGATCCCCTGAGACTAGAGTTACAGATAGGTGTGATTTGCTATGTGGGTGTTAGAAAACAAACCCAGGTCCTCTGGAAGAGCACCCAGTGTTCTTCACCACCAAGCTATCTCTCTAGCTCATGTGCATGGCTTTCTGATGCTAGGAATAGAGAGTGAATTAAATACTTGTGCCACAGCATGTAAGCAAAAACGAAAAACAAAAACAAAAAATGCTCAGTGATGGAGGGGAAGGGAGGAGAGGAGAGAAGGAAGGAAAGGAGGGGAGGAAGGAAGAAGAAAGAAGAGCAGAAGAAAGAAAGAAAGAAAGAAAGAAAGAAAGAAAGAAAGAAAGAAAGAAAGAAAGAAAGGCAAGGAGGGGAACCTGGATTTAAAAAGTCAGTCTTGCTCTGCCACACACTGTGCTGGCTGGCTGGAATGCTAACCTGTCTGTAGTTGGTGCAGAGGCCATCTTAGCAATGAGGTATGTCTGTACTTGGTTTTGTGTGCTCTGTGAACAGGGGATGACCCAGGAGATCACAGTGCCAGCTCTGCTACTCATTTCCAATCCAGCCTGATGCAGGGTTACTTGTAAAATACATTATCAAGAAAATTCCAAGTGTACTTTTCAGCTCTAAAGAAGATCTGGCAATCGGCTTCACATCTGACTAATTTCTGGAACTCCCAACAGCACTCTGAGTCACTATATTTTTGGACCCAAACAGCCAAGTGTGACGTTGTTTGTTTAGACTTGCACTGGATTAGGGACCCCTTGCCATTACTAAGACCATTTGGAGAGGCAGGCCCAGCAGGTTTTTTTTTTTTTTTTTTTTTTTTTTTTTTTTTTTTTTTTTTGTGTGTGTGTGTGTGTGTGTGTGTGTGTGTGTGTATGTGTGTGTCTTGAATTCCAGGAAACACTGTATGAAACAAAAGAACAATAGCTCCATTGAGTCATCACTGTTGGCAGTTACTGGCTTTCCTAGCTTCCAATATCTGCACATGTTAATGTCCTATCCAACTCCTGCAAAGATAAATTCAGATCCTTGCTGATGTTTCATGATTTGTGGAGGTCTGATTTGTCTGTGCCTGGTTCCATTAATTCTCAATATTTCAGTGGATACAGTTTTCCAGCTTCTGGTTTAGGCTATCACACTGTTCCTATGCCATGCTGTATACAGATTTTATGTGCCCTTGTGTTTAGTTTTATGGGGAAGGCTGGGTGTAGAATTGTTGGGTCAGTTGTTGAGTATGGTTGTTGCTTGGAGAACCCACAAAACTGTTGCCACTAAAAGGTTTTGTTTTCTCTACATCCTTACTAACACCACTACCACCCACATTCTTTATTCTAATTATTTTGGTGGGATGAAACTGTGCCCTGTCTCTTTGTGTCACATGTCCCCAAAGATACTAAGCATCTTCCCATGTGCTTAGGAGAAATGTCTGTTGAGCATGAGTTAAATCCTTGAGAATTTAGAACATCTCAAATAGCCCTCCCCTTGAAGAAGGAGAAGAAGAAGAAGAAAAAAGTCCCCATTGTAGAGAACTACAGGTATGGCCTCATTAACAGGAAGCCGTTTTTACCAACAACTCTTCTGCAGAAAGGCCAAATCACGTCAGGATTTAGACATGGCTCCAGTGGTTAAAGGTGTTTGCTTTGCATCATGAGTACTGGAGTTCAGATCCCTGAACTTAACAAAGAAATGCCTGCAATCCCAGAACTTTTGAGGAGTGGTGAGGAGACAGGATTGTTGGTTTCTGGCTTCCAGTGTGGCAGAGATGGGAGCCCAGTTTCAGGGAAAGACCCTACCCTGAAGGGATAGGCAGAGTGACAGGAGGACACACGATGCCCTTTTCAGGTCTCTGAACATGACTGCACACCTCTGTGCACATGCGTACACACACACACACACACATACACACACACACACACACACACACACACACACACACACACAGTGGAGTTGTTTGGGGTTTAAAGTCAAGTGGGCACAAATGTTACAAACTAAACCTTCCTTCTCAAACTTCAGCGTTTTTACTATTAATGTAAAAATGAGGTTTAGTTCAAATACTTGGTGAGTTGTTTCACAATCCAGAAAAATCAAGATGTGCATGAAATAAGCACCTCTTTTCCTAGGGCAGGGAGACCCACACATGTGGCAAACCCGTTCTGTGTCTTGGTGTTGGAGACTGGTAAAGTCTCACAGCCACATCAGTGAAGCTGTGGACCGTGACATCCCATCTTATTTATTTGGTGGGTTTTGTTTGTTTATAAAAAAACGGTTTAGGTAAGATCTTGCTGTGTGGCCTCAAACCCTTGTTCCTCTCTCTGCCTACCAAGTGCTGGGATTACAGACATGCACCACTATGGCTGATAAATGTAATTTCTTAAGTCCCCCAAACCAATAAGGATAAACCATGACATTTCCCTTAGTTTGCTGCTGTCCTTTACTTTGCAGTACAACTGACATGAAAATCTCACCCCCTGGTCTGTCAACAGACTACTTAGTCATCGTCTGGCAAAGCACAGACCATTTTCCATCCTACTGGCACTACCCAGTGGCACTCAGACATCCAAACCCCTGCTGATTTGGTTTTCTGAAGATAGAAGTCTTTGAAGGGTAAATTGAACTGCAGCTTTTATAAGTCCTTTCATCTTCCTGTCAGTACTAAGGGAAAAAGAGTGAGCCCTTGTTGGTAGAGAGCAAAGTTCCATTTGGATGTGTTTATTCTAACTTTGGCTTTTCATTTTATTTTCCTTTTGGTTAACTTACCTGTCACAGGCTAATGATGCTGAGTTTAACCTCCCCATGTGCACTTTAGTTTGGAACATTATAGATCTAGTCACATTTAAATTTCTACCATTCTTTGTAAGTAAACAAGAAACGATAGGTACATACAGAACAAACTTGGGATGATGATGGTGGTGGTGAGATAATTCCGTTTTCTCCTTCCCCTGGTCACTGAGTTCACGTTTGTGTCTGGCACTATGAAAAGGTTAGATGAATTTGAGAACACTCCTGGTACAAAATGAAAGTATAAATGCTGACTCAAATATCAGAGATCCCCTGGAGTTCAGAGAGGACAGCTGAAAATCCCTGTCAAATTTGCATGTTCTCTATGCCATCCAGGACTGTGACGGTGAGAGGAAATAACCCACCGCTACTCAGAGACACACAACAGAGCAGTGTGGGAGATCACAACCACTTCATTGCCTTGGATTCCTATGAAGACTTTCCATTTCCAAGGTGTTTTGTATGGGGCATTCACCCCAGATTGTTGAATGGACAAATGAAACTCTCTCCACACAACAGTAGAGCGATGGTTCAAGAGACATGGTAGCAGACAGATCTTTCAGAAAATGATTTACCAGGTCTAGGAAAAAAAAATAGCTGTATTGGATAATGATCTTAAAGTAATAGCATCCCCTTTGTACATTTAAGTGCATGTGTAAATGGAATTCAGGTCCAAGAGACTGGAAAAATTAAGAGGTGAGAACTGAGAGAACTGGATGAAGCAGCTAGGAATCTTCTAAGCACTTGACTGTTGTTGGATAGACTCGGTCCAGAAATTCTCTGGTTATACTTTGAAGATTAATTTCTTGGGTGCAGATTTGCTATTTCTGCTCTCCTTAGTTTTGTAGAAAACATCCCTCTATCTGGAGTACCTGCCCTTCCTCAAACCCCAGTGCAGTGGATGAGCTAATAAAGGTCATATTGTGTGTGCCCTAAGCACTAGTTCAGTCCAAGGATCTGAAGTAGCAACACAGACTTTGCCCTAAGTTTCCCAAGGTCCTAGGGAGGAGGCAGTAATTTGACCCCTAGTGTAATGTGACCTGTAAAATGGAAGTCATCCCAACCTTGTGTTTGGAAAGTCCCTGTATGTCACATGATACATTCTGTGGAGTATGTTACACTGGGTATGTTAGCTTTTCATTGCTGTAAAAAAATAGCATGAGGAAGAAAGTGAGGCTTAGTTTAGAGTTTAGGATGTTTCAGTCCGTGGTGAGCTGGTTCCACTGGAAGGAAGGGTGTGGCAGAGGAAAGTGGTTTCCCTCACAGCCAGCAGAAAGGAGAGGAGCCCAGGGGACACACTCTTAAAAGAAACACTTGCAGTGACATACTTCTTCCAATTAAGTCACACGTCCTAGAGTTTCCAGAACTATCTAAAATGGTACCACCAGCTGAGGACCAAGCCTTTAATACATGAGCATGGGGGAGTACCTTAAAACGCTGGGGAAGTATATAGTAGCATTACTAAAATGAGTTCTGAATTAAGTTTATATATTCAAAACACCTACTTGGGCAAATTAATGACCAGACATTATTGATTTCTTTTCTGGAAAATAGGGATGTTTGAGAATCAGTAAGTTGCAGCAGGGTAACATTTACTATTAGGCAGTGATGGAACAGCCATGGTAAGTAAGCTGTGTTTACGAATCACACTGCCCTGAGCATACTGCAAATTAGCTTTCCTCAGGGACATGGTTTGTGTTTCTTGGAACTGTCCTCAGTGGTCAGCCTGATGTTGTTGTGGTCAGCCTAATGTTGTTGTGGTCAGCATATACAGTGTTGATCATCAGGCTTTTTGGAGTCTGGTACTACCCAACATCACAGCGGGACTTTTTGCCAGCGTTCTGTGTTCAGGAAGTGAAGATGACACCTTCCTAACTTTGGTATAACTGGCTTTTCTTTATGGTTGAAGATTGAAGATGAACTCATGCTGGCACCAGGGTTTGCAGCCCCACCCTACCTAGATTATTCTGGTTACCACCAGTACATAGAGGATAAGTTGCCTCCAGAAAGCCCAGTGCTGTACGGTCTTCACCCCAATGCTGAAATAGAGTTCCTGACAGTGACATCCAACACACTCTTCAGAACACTACTGGAGATGCAACCCAGGAATGTAGTCAGCAGTGAGGAACTGGGGCAGTCTACAGAAGACAAGGTAAGGAGGTCTTTCTTGTTATGGCCTTTAGAGTGAAGTGTGCTAATTTTAGGCATTAGTCTCTGTTAAATCCTTACCTGTGCAAGCAATCAAGTAGCTGCCACTAAGACCAAGATCAGATACCTAAGGTACAGAATGTTTTCAACTTCCCAGGACATTCACACTCTTTCCTGTTCCCCCAATATAATCAATACCCTGACCTCCAGCTTTACATATTGACTGACTTTGAACTTGAAATACAAGTATCTATATGATACTTATTGCCAGACTCCTTTGACTTCACAGTAAATTTGTGAGATTCACTCACTTGTTTTGTTCAGATGCCAATGGCTTCTTCTTGTTGTGTTCTATCATTGGACAGCTCTCCCTTGGCTCATAATTTCAGGGCTGGGTCATCCTCACTAAGGACCACCTAGGCAAGGGGCAAGGCCCATTTCCTGAGTGCTGTAGCTGGTAAGGGGAATTGTCAGCTCTCTCATCTGTTGAAGGCAGCAGGGGCTCGAGGAGTAAAGAGGGTCATCTCTCACCCTCCCATACCGCTGTGACAGATGAGTAGTGGAGACAGCTCCACAAGGCTTATAACTTCGGGGCTGGCTCACCCACACCTCCCCTAACAGGGTTGACTCTATTGTGTTGCCCTGGTGAGGTGCAGGGCCTGTTCTAAGTATTGCAGCTGGGGGTGGGGAGTGGTCAGGGACAGTATCAGGCTATCTTTTCTTACAGACTTGTACTAACTCTTTATTCTACATGGGTATTCTTTGTCAGATGTGTGAATTACAGGTATCACCAAATCTGTGGCTGTCCCTTCACTGTGGGGAGGGGTACATGGGCAGACCAGGCCATACTTTGGGGAATGTGGAAGTCAGAAAATCCCAGTGATTTTTCTTATCTCTGCCATCCACAGTTCTGGGGTTATAAGAACAATGCCCAGTTTTTATGTGGGTTCCCATTAATTTACAGCAAGTATTCGTACCTACAGGGCCATAATTCCATCCTTGGATCCTCCACCCTTACTATCCTTGAGTAACTCATTTCCCCCCAAATAAATGAGTCCTTATTCTCAAAATTACTCATCAAGGTTGTGAATGCCAAGGATTCAGGTTTTCAAATGAGGTTTGTTACCATCAGCTCTAACTATAGTGAAATCCAGAAAAAGTCCATTTTACTTCTTGAAATAGGGTCATTCATTGGCTGATTCAGTTTGAAATGAACTGTATGTGTTGCTGTATCCTACACATAAACATCGTTTCTACCAAGAATGCTGCATCTTTAGCAAGATGAACACCCTTCCCCGTGGGAGAAGTGCAGTGATCACAGATCCCAACTCTCAGGGTTTTATATTTCCAACCTACCCATGAAGAAAACCAGTCATGAAACCAGCAGATGCAGTACACACAGTGAAGCAGGCTGCCTCAACACCCAGCCACTCAAAGCCAAGGCCTGTTACTGGGTACTGGACTCTATAGAAAGTACTTTTCTGTGAGCTACTTAATCAAGAGCTTGAAGAGGCAGCATTAGGATCTATTTCAGTGATAAACTGAGGTGATCCGTCAAGACCCAACAGGCAGAGAGGGCCAGGGAAGGAAACAAAACCTGGTCAATTCTAAACTTGTTTTGCTTTCTAACTTCCTGGCTGTGCCATTACTGCCTACTCTTTCCATAGCTGAGTTAAGATTTCCGAACCTGAGAAATTCCGCACCGGAAGCTATAGCAAGCAGTTCCTTAAGCATGATGTAGGGACCACCGAACATCTCCCGAGAAATGAAGGAAAGGGGAAGCTGCTTGAGGCTAAAGGCATCCCCCCCCCCATTTTTACTTTCTATTTTTGGCTGTTGGAGGAGGTGTGGCACTGGGGATGGGCTTCAAGTGCTCAAAGACATGCTCTGGGTGGAGAGTGCTGGTGCTCTCTCTCTCTCTCTCTCTCTCTCTCTCTCTCTCTCTCTCTCTCTCTCTCTGCTGCACACAGAGGCAGGGTCTCGCTATATAACTCAGCAGGACTTGAACTCATGATCCTTCTGTCTCAGCCTGGAACAGGGTGGGGTGTGTGTGTGTCAGAATTACAGGAACGTGTTTTCTATTCACCTGCATCTAGGTAGTGACTGGTTTCCCTAGCTCAGTGAAACGCATTTGATAGATGGGCACATTTGACTACTATGTGCCTATTCATATCATCTATGAATAAATCTTTTCACTTTTTTGAGAGAACAAATATAGATTGAAGACTTGATTTATTTTTTGTGGATCTAAATGGCTACAGGGATTTTAGCATGCGATAGTTGGAAGGCTGTTAACACCAGCTCGTGCTCCATGGGCCTCTGGAATCTGTGCCCACTTTCCTAATGAATTTTTCATGTTCTACTCTCTCTCATCTTTGCACACAAATGCCACTTAACATTGAGGAGCATAAGAATTACCAACTAACAGTGAATCTACTGACCATGGTGGAATCTAAGAGAGGGCAGGTGACTGACTAGCACTGATGTAGAAGCTCTGGGCAGCTAGCAACTGACCAGGGGTTGTAGTCACCTTTGGAAGCTGCATAGTCTATACTGAGACTTCAGAAAGTATGACAGCCAGTCTCAGGGTTTCTACTGCTGTGAAGAGACACCATGACCACGGCAACTTTTATAAAGGAAAGCCTTTAACTGGGACTGGCTTACATTTCACAGGTTTAGTCCATTATCAGAGCAGGAAGCATGGCGGTGTGAAAGCAGAAATGGTGCTGGAAAAAGAACCCAGAGTTTTCCATCTGGACAGGCAGGTAGCAAGAAAAGAGAGTAACACTGGGCCTGGCTTGAGCACTTGGAAGCCTCAAAGCCTGCCCCCAGTGACACACTTCCTCCAACCAGGCCACTCTCCATAAATGCCATGCCCCATGAGCCTCTGGGGGGCATTTTCATTCAAACCTCCAGTCACCATGAGCAAAAGTGAAATGAAGTCTTTGTCTGTGCTTCAATGATTTAGGTTAAGAATATCTTGGATGACATTTTGGAGAGACTTCCAGAAGAGTTCAACATGGCAGAGATAATGCAAAAGAACCTGAACCGCAGCCCGTATGTTCTTGTTTGCTTCCAAGAGTGTGAGAGGATGAATGTTCTCATCCGGGAAATCCGTGTTTCACTTCAACAATTAGACCTTGGTTTAAAGGTAAATTTACATTGGGATGAGATGGGGCTTCGCCACCCTGGAGGGTACTCATGGCGGCCTTTCTTCTCTCTGCAAGGGAGAGCTGACATTATCTCCAGATGTGGAAGCCCAGCTGTCTGCCCTGAGTTACGACCGGGTTCCAGACACTTGGAATAAACTGGCTTACCCGTCTACATACGGTCTGGCCCAGTGGTAAGTGACCATCTCTACCGCCACTGGCAACTGTAAACGTCAGCACACGGTCAGCATTCCCCAATACTCCTGCAAGAACGCAGGCTCCATGGCCATCACCAGGCAAACTCTACCTCTAACTTGACGTGACGTCCTCCAGCACGTTGTTTCAAAAGCAAATCAGTTCCGTTAGGCTAGACCAGGATTCAAATTCACCTGTACTAGGTAAACTGCCCTTAGACAAAAATACCTAATCTCCTGGTCTCCATATTTCCATCTGAAAAAAAGAAAATTTAAACAGAATTTCCTCATTTATTTAGAAGTCCTAGAAGCTACTTGAGTTTGCCTGTTGGCATCTTATTGCCTTTATTTCTAAGCTAGTAATTACTAACGCAATCAAGAGGACTTTGGAAAGTATGTAGTATGATATGTAAAAGCTAGACTGCTTTCACATGGGGGGTGGGGTGGGGTGGGGAGATCATTGCAGGTGTCACAGCCTGAGGTAGGATTGCTGAAGGCTGGTATGTTTTATCCCAGATGTTCTGTGGCCTTGGGACACTATTCAGAGAGCAGCATAGGACTCTAATCTGTTCCTTTTTCAGATTGAAGTTCTTTAGTTCTGATTCAGGAAGAGACACAGGACAATCTGGAAGGTGCCATTAGAATTCCAAATGCCAGCATGTTGGGACCCTGCCATGCTTGGCTTCTTTTCCTATTGTGATAAAACACTTCAACCAAAGCAGCCTAAGAGAGGCAGGAAAAGCTGGTTTGGTTAGCTCAGGTTAGCTCACGGTTTCAGGACACAGTCCATCATTTGACGGAAGCCTCAGTAACAGGAGCTTGAGACAGCAACTAACATGCAACAGTCAAGGGCCAGAGCAAAGAGCTCAGTCAGCTCACATTCAACATTTATACAGTCTAGGATCCCGACTCGGGGAACAGTGTCACCAGTATTTATAGTAAGTTTGTCAGTATCATCCCAATAAAGGTAAAATCCCCTAACAGGCACTCCCAGAGACTAAACTCACAGGCGTGCCCATGGGCTTGTCTCCTGGGTGATCCCAGGTTCTGTTGACGATTAACACATTCTCATAGGCGCCCACATGTGGGCTGTGGGAGATGGGTGCTGCTCTGGTTTGCTTTCTGTTGCTGTGACTAAACTTGGGCAAGAAAGGGTTCACTTCAGCTTATAGTTCCAGATAACAGTCTATCCATCACTGTGCAGGCAGAAACCTAGAGGTAGGAATTGAAGCAGAGACCAAGAACACCACTTGCTTATGAGCTTATCTAGTTCCTTCATTCAGCCAACTGGTCAACCTGATCTAGGCAAGTCTTCATTTGGGTTTCCCTCTCCCCAGATGACTCTAGGTTTGTATCAAGTTGACAACACAGACAAGAGCAAAGGGGCAGGACAGTTATGTGGCTTCCAGAGGATAAACACCACCCAGGAGAGAGTGTGCACCTCAATAGTTTTAACAGTATCAGTAAGTAAGGGCCGGCTCTATGCCCCCAGAAATGGAGGATTTGCTGCATTTAGTTATGTTTTATGTGTATTAGTAAGTTTCTTTTCATCATCTTACTTTGTACTTGCTAATTTTTGTATTTTTTTTCCTAGCTTGTTTCTAACCTTTTCTAACTTTGTTGGTTTAGTAGTTTTCTTCATTGTGCACTTGACCTCCATACTGTTGCCACTTAGAGAGGGCCCTTTGCAATGTAACACACTAAACTTTCCAGACACAACCTAAAATCAACATTTTCAGGAGACCTCTTAACCTCCTTCTAGATTTATTCTTGTTCTGTTTTGTTGATCATTGTTTATCAGAACTGCTTTTCTTCCCATCTTTTGACACATCACCACGCCCCCCCCCCACCACGCACACACACATAAGCTAAGAGGGCATTGGATCCCTAGGAGCTATGAATTGTCATGTGTATGCTAGGAATTGAAGTTGGATCCTCTGAAAGAGCATGCTAGTGCTTTTAATTGCTGAGCCATCTTTCCAGGTCCTTGCACCATGCCATTTTAACATTTTTCACTCTGTTTACACTATAACACTACTGCCAGAGGTTTTTCCACCAGGCTCTTGCGCTCGCTCGTGCCCTCTCTCTCTGTGTGTGTGTGCCTTAGAAGCATTTATCTTCTCCTTTCAAGTAATTGTTCTGTGTGGAACAATCTCCTACTCTTCCCTTTGACTATACCTTCCCTGGCAATTCTAACAGTAATGGACACTCTTCTCTGTCTCGTGAATTTCTACAGCATCCTACACAACGGTGGTATTGCCAACCCTGTTCAAATGGTTTTTTTGGGCCACCACTATGTACATCTCTAGAAGGATCTAACAGTTGGGTAAAGAGACCCTGCCCATGTTGCCCCAGTGTTTACTACTCGAAACGGTGCAGGTATAAACGCTCAACAGAAGAAACCAGATCTGTGCAGGGATACCACCTTGTCAATCATCTGAGAAGGCTTTCTTCCCCTACTTAACCCAGTGTGCGCCACAGCCCTCATCTTCCTGGGAGTTACCTACTTTACTAAAAAGCAAGTTCATTTCTTCCTACCTTTCGCTAACCAGGTTTAATGACCTCCTCTTGCGATGCCGAGAACTTGATACCTGGACACAAGACCTCGCTCTCCCAGCTGTTGTGTGGCTTTCTGGCTTCTTCAACCCCCAGTCCTTCTTAACAGGTATGGCTAGAGGCAAGGTAGCAATCCTGCCTAGCTTCAACAGTCTTCAAACAATAATTACAGAGCCAGGGGGGTAGCAACTGGAGAAAGTTTTAGTTAGGGAGGAGAGAGCCCCAGGCACAGCTGCAGTGGTCTGTCTTAGTGAAAAGCCAGGCTGTCACTTTCCCATTGTCATGCACATAGGCAACACAGAAGCAAACTGCTGTTCTGGTATATTCTAGTTTGTGACCCTGAAGGCAAACTGGTCCTGTAAGCCTGTTTGCCCAGCCGCATTCTAATCTGCAATACCCCATGGGACACTCTTGGCTCTTGGGAGCCTATAAACAGGATTTTTTACCTTCAATTCTTCTGTTTTCCTCCCAAAGCAATCATGCAGACCATGGCTCGAAAAAATGAGTGGCCACTGGACAGAATGTGCCTGACTATTGACGTGACCAAAAAAACAAAGGAAGATTATGGCCACCCCCCGAGAGAAGGAGCATACATCCATGGGCTCCACCTGGAAGGTAAGTCCACTAAGGGATGTGTTCGTAACTGTCTTAGATACAAGCTGGTTCCTCTCCTTCAACATCTACTTGGTGAGATGGAAACCTTGTGTTATTATTTCTTCTTCCCTGCATACAATTTAAACATCCCGGTGTGTCTAACCTTGTGGCACTCAGGGTGATGACTGTTATTTAAACTGCACATATATCATTAGATGGTGTTAAAAGCTCAGGAACTTAAGTCCTGCATGTAATTCATAGTATTCTGCTTTTTGCTACCATCAATTCAAACCCCACCCTCTGCTTTTAAGCTTTTATTCTGTATGTAGAGTCGAAAACACAATAACTTTCAGAAGTTAGGTCTCTCTATCTTGTTTTGAGGCAGGATCTCTTGTGCTGTTTGCTCCATACTCCAGGACAGCTAGCCTGCAAGATTGATTTTCCTGTATCCATCTCTCATATTTGATGTAGGGATGCTTGCATTACAGATGTGTATTTTTTTTCACATCTGGCTTTCTCTATGGGCTCCTGGGATCAGACTTGGGTGATTAGGCTGCAAAAGCCACAGTTTGGACATTTCAAGGCTAGTTAAATGCAGTGGCAAAGCATGATACAAAAGTTGTGCTTCTTATAAAGGGCTTGGATTTGTACAAAAATTGAACTTGTAAAACGACTAACACCACTGAACATCTCAGCCACATAAAGACACTACAGATAGGTGACAAAGTGATAAAAGTGGAACATTTATTGCATCAAACAATTAAGAGCACTGGTACCCACAGTTAACACAACCGTTGTCTCTGCCACAGGTGCCAGGTGGGACATCCAGTCAGGAGCCCTTGTCGATGCCCGCCTTAAGGAGTTAACATCCACGATGCCTGTCATCTTTGCCAAAGCCATAACCGTGGACAGACAGGAAACCAGGCACACCTATGAGTGCCCCGTTTACAAAACCAAAGCAAGAGGCCTCACCTACGTGTGGACTTTCAGGCTAAAGAGCAAAGAAAAAATAGCTAAGTGGGTGCTGGCAGGTGTGGCTTTACTGCTAGAGGCATAAACAGCCTTGGTACTGCAACTTATATTCTTCCCATTTCAACCAGAGCATGTTTTAGTAACAGGGGTGTGCATTCTTTTTGTTAGATCATTATTCTTTCAGAAGGGAGAATGGTAGTACTTAAAACACTAAACATCTACCTGGGATATATACTCATTGATTTTAGCTTCCTCCACCATACCCACCCAAAACACCATTTATCTCTTACGTTTCCCTAAGTCTCAAAAACACTGCAGTAAGGATTCTATAAAAAAAGTGAACTCTTTAAAAAAATATTTAAAAAACGTAGAAGCAGCAGGCTCCAGGCAGGTCCTGAAGGAAGAGGCAAGCATACCGAGGCCTCCAGTGTCTATAACTCGGTCCAATTTTGTTGTCTTTTAATAAAAAGGACACCATACTCACAGTGTGTGGTTAATTGCACTTGATAGTTTAGAGGAACATTCTTCAATATAAATTTTCTAATAACTCGGAATTCAGTATCTCTAGAGCAGGATAAACTATTAGGTTGGAGCTATGGTCACTCAGGAGCCTCTGTAAAGAGGAGGAGTGACTGTGGGGGGAGCTGAGCGTCTTCTCTGTAACTTACCTGAGCTTTAACTCTGCCCCATTTCAATTGTGCTTTTTAGAATCTTCAGCAGGTATGTATACAGATTCCTCTACTTTACTATTTTTCCTGAGAAATCTTTTTAAGCATAATAAACTTTTTTTTTTTTTTTGAAAAATTGTCTTAGGAACAGTAAATTCCAGGAAGCAAGCTTCTGTGAAGTTCAGCTCTAAGGCTAGGCACAAACGGCAGACGTCTCTAGTAGGACTCTGGTACATCTGAGCATTCCTTCTCCTCTCGCTGGTCGTCGTCTTCTACAGCTGCTTTTGTAAGCTGAGCGAAAGATGGAGAAGTGTTCGTGAGTAGCTGACCAGAAGCAGCATTCTAGGTCACGGTGGTACCAGAATATCCAGGGGTGTGCAGAGACATGTCTCCACATGCCTCAATTCACTTCCACAACTAGACAGCATAGAATTTACATCTGTAGCCCACCTTCCCCAGCCGCACACTGTCCAACTCCCTGCTCCTCAGGCTGTGGAGACCGGTGGTGTTATTTTATGGATAGTTCTCTGTTATAAATCTTTCCGCCAAAAGCTGCTGAGCCCCACCGCCACGTGTGTGCTTTACACCAGCCGCCTGCCCGAGTTAGGCCCAAATGAATGCACAGAAACTTGTATTAGGTTCAATGCTGCTTGGCCAATGACTAGGATTCCTCATCTGTTAGCTCAGTCACAATTGTCATAAATCTATATATTTTATAAGACTTATCTTATCGGACGCCTTATTGGCGTCCCTCCTTGCAGCTGGAGGAAGAGGGGAGGGGAAAAAAGAGACGCTTCCTGTTTCTCCTTCTTTGAATATGAGTCTCCTTGCTATGTCACTTCCTGCCTGGATCACCACTTCTCTACTACATTTCCCAGAATCCTCTTTGACTCCTAGTCCCTTCTACTTGCTGTCTCATTGGCCAAACAGTATTTTATTTAACAATGCAAAAGATAAACATACACAGAAGAACTTCCCCCATCAGTTCTCATGTGACTTCTTCAGGTCCAAAGTGGAAATGTTGTTTGACCACTGTTAGTTTCATACTCTCTATCAAGTCTTGAGGCCCGACCCTCTCCAGTATGAATGGAACTCAAGGTAGCTCCCACACACATTTGCTGTAGACTTACCTCTCCAGGTATTCCTTGACATTATTATAACCATAAAATTTGGCCAGATGAATGAGAATTCCAGTGGCACAGCGACCGTCTCGCTTCCGGCAGTAACTGCAATTGCAAATCCCACGGCAAGGAGGACAGGTCCACTCCTAGGAAGCAGTAGAGATTGTTCCTTTTATTTATCCACATCCTACACTACAGACTTGGTCAAACCTCTCCTTCAGCCACTAGCGCATGGTGTCCCTCAGAGTGTAAGAGGGGCTACACCAGAACCCCTGGCAAGAATGACCTCCTTGTATCAGGGAAACAAGGAGACATCTGTTCTAGACACCACCAGATACCACTGAGGGGGAGCTATTAAAAAAAAAATTGAGCTGGCTTTTATGTGCTGGGGGGGTGTCCTATGTGATGCACAGGTCACACACTGGCTGTGATTTTTGGGAGTATGTGTTTGGCACAAGATCCAGGTGAGAATTCTAGCTCTCCTGATACATATGTGACCTTGATGTTAAGTCACTTACAACTGTACGTCTAGAAATGGGGACCAGCATGTATATACCCATGACTGCTCCAGAAGAGGTCATACAGTGAGGTGGCTGAACACAGACCCCAAAGAGGCAATGCTCAGGTTCGAGGTAGTACTTATAGTTTGGAAATGACATTTCTTCTAGGGATCTGAAGCAAAAGGTAAAATTGGGGCTGGGGAGTAGAGCTCAGTTGGTGGGAAGGGACTGAGTGCAATCTACAGAACTCGCATGAAAAGGTCAGGATATGGCAGTGTGCGCTGGGCAGGCAGAGGCGAGAGGCTCCATGGCTGGCTATGCAGCCTGAGTGTTGAACTCTAAGCTAGTGAGAGACTCTATAGAAGATGTTCTTGATGACAAAATGACAACTGAGGCTGCCCTCTGCAACCAAGTGCACACATGTAGGTGTGCCACACATATTTTGTTGTTACAAAAAATGTATTAGTGATACATGATGTTAGCAGGTATGAGACACTCAGCATGGTTCTGGACAGCAGGAAGCACTTAACTGTGCCTTACCCCCGGACAGGCCAAGACAAATGAAGTAAAATCACTTTGCTAGAGGAAAGGACCCACTGAAAATCAACCCTGGTTTGGCCACTAGAAACCCTTGCGGGACCTCTCCACCCAAGCTATCAGCCACCTGGTTCTCTTCCCTGGAAGGAACCACTGCGCTTCATTCAGCCCCAGGGCTTGCAAGCTTCATCAATGTGTTTATAACAAATGCACACACTGCTCCTACCGGATCCAGCAACGCTGTCCGCACATCCTCCCCGTAGCGATTGCGCAGGCACGGCCCACAGAACTGTCCCCGTACACCGCCACAGCCCTGGTTCCGGCACACTGTCTTGGTATCAATGGTCTTCTGCCGACACTGGTGGCAGGTGTTACCCTACAGGAAAAGCAAAAGAGGGGGATGTGGGGTTGATGATACTCATTCAGATGTTTATATACGTATTACAGAGTGCAGGAACCTGGCAGGATTGTCACTAGACAAACGATGGTGACCTTCACTTTAAGCACTTCAGTTTGGGGACACAGAGGGATAGAACCATCAGGAACAGAAGAGAGACCAAAAAAAAACTTAAGACAGCAAAACCCCCAGTAGCAGAATCTGGCTCTAATCTACTCCTGGAGACCTAGAAACCATCAATGTAAAACCTTTGGCATTTCAATGGACATTCTACTATTTTAAATAGTGTTGAACCAACAAAAATGATGCAAGTCATCTTTTGGAAAAAATAACCCAGTTCATATCAACCAGAAAGTATTGCTCCCCACCCACACACAGACGGTCAATATTTAACATATAAAACACACACAGGTGCTTTTCTAATCCAGTACCTATCGTCTAGGACACATACCCCAGGGAGCCCTCTCCCTTGGGCAGGGCCACTATGCTAGGCGGACTGCCTTTGTCCAGTACAGTAGATCTGGGACGGCACAGGAGCAGAAGGCCTGATTGACGTTGTTTATAAATGATTTGAGGCTTCAAATAGCAATGTGTGGGGCTCCCAGTAGGAGTCAGTCATGCACACTTTTCTGAAGGTGTCACTTACCAGCACTTTGTCGTACACTTTATCACGGACAGTTATGGCAATATTTTCCAAGTCTTCTTCAGTGATGTCTTTCACTGAACGGTAAGAAGAGACTCGGTGACGTCGTCTATACTTCTGGCATTTCCCCTGCAGAGAAAAAAACAGGGGAGCCTGGCACGTGCATCAAGACACTGAAAATTACAACAAAAAAACCTTAAACATGCTTAGAGATCGAAGGTTGGCCGTGTCTCCTTCGGTGGGCTCCGGCCCCAACCCAAGCTCCCTTACAGGGCACTTCAACTGTGACCATGGCAACCACAGTGAACAGCCAAGCCCATATAAGAGGTGGCTCCTAAGTTTCCCTTCTTCTCAACAGAACTCAGAAGGGCCAGTCCTGGGAGAGACAAGCAGGGAGGAACTCTTGCACCTTCCACAGTGCAGAACCAAAGCTGGCGATCAAAACCAGCCAGGCAAATGCTCTACCCCTGAGCCATCCATCCCAGCTCCTCAGCTCATTTTACACAGAGGACTCTCAGGGTGATCTGCTCCTCAGCCCCCCAGGGTCCTCTCAACTGGGGCTCTCACACAAACATGGTGGAAACTCAAGTTCTCAGCTGCTGGAGGCCTGCTGACTCAAAACTACATGAAAGCCAGCATGGCACAATGAGAGACTCCCATTTACGGGACATTGGCTTATTCGTAAATACCCCACTAATTGTCTTCCTTCTTCGGAAACTGTAAAGCTCTTCGGTGAGCTTGGCGGCGGAGAAGGCGAAGTTTTCCAGGGCAAACTTCTCCGGGGGCCGCGCGCTCCGGGTTGGGTTTGTCCGCCGTATGATCTGTCCCTCTGAGAAGGCCCGTCGCGACGTTCTCCTCTTCTGAAACCAAAGAAGGGCACAGACAGATGCATCTGGGTGTCCCTGAACAGAAGGCTACCACTTCTGTTCCGGTCTACAGAGCAGGACCAGTCTGAGAATTCAGGAGTTTCACTTACAGAAGCTGAGGTCGGGGTTCGCACGGGGAAGAAATCTGGCACCGAGTTCAATTCCGCCAACAATTGAGCGAGCTAAGGTTCGGAAAGAAAGGGGGATCTGATGTCAGTTAAGGAGACATCTGGAAGCAACATCTATGTTGCCTACCATGGCCCCCTCGAATCTCGGTAATTAAGACTTCACCTCCTGAGTAAGAAGCTGATGCCACTGGTCACCTGAGCCAATGTCATGCCCATTCCTTACATATGGGGACAACAGGACACAGTAGAGACAGTCTTCCTGGCACATCTGGGGCCAGGAGCATAAGGTTCCGACTCGGCCACTATCTTGGCAGTGCAACCCTGGACCACCACATTTTACACAGCTGAAACTCAAATGTCAGCATGCTCAAAGAAGGGTTCCCCATTAGATGAGTCTCAAAGCTCCCAAATCAACTGAAATACTTGCTGAGCCTTGAGTGGAGCACATGCTGTAATCCCAGCACCAGGGTGCAGATGCTAGGGCATTAGGAGTTTGTGACCAGTCTAGGCTCCCTGAATACATATCTCAAATATTCCTACCTCCTTACATAAATTAGCTACCATCCCCAGACAAACACCTAAGGCCAAGCAACAGACACTAATATGCACACCACCCCAGCATTTAATTGGGATTTTCATAAACATAACACCACTAAGAATAACCATGTGAAAAGTAGTTCTTACTGAAATGACACAGATGGGTGGAGCGCTACTCTTTCGTTCAGCCAAGCAAATTTGTCTCTAAGAAACAAAATTCACCCATAGTGGACTGTGTTCTCTTAACTTATTAGGCACAGGTCTATGTATGTAATATTACATTGAATTTTTCTTTTAAAAAAGCTGGGCAGTGGTGGCATACACCTTTAATCCCAGCACTTGGGAGGCAAAGGCAGGCGGATGGATCACTGAGAGTTCCAGGACTGTTAAACAAAATAAAAGGCCAGGGCTGTTACACAGAGAAATCCTGTCTCGAAAAATAAAACAAAACAGAAAGTCATCAAAAAGCTGGGTGGTGGTGGTGGCACATGCCTTTAATCCCAACACATGGGACGCAGAGGCAGGTGGATCTCTCTGAGTTGGAGGTCAGCCTGGTCTATATCCTGAGTTCCAGGAGAGCCAGAGCTACACAAAACAAACAAAAAGTCAAAGTGAAAAAAAAAATTATAACTGGCAATTAGCAGAATTTTCTAAAAATTCTGTCAGTGTAAAATTAGAAGGAAAAGAATGACATTGCAGGATTAGGATGACTTACTGGCCACATATAAAAAACACAAAACATGTAGGTTGAGCTAACCAAGGCATAACTGAATTAGAATGCCTCAGGGGCTGGTAACTGTGGGCCTTTCTCCTTCCTTCAGATGATGTCTCTGAAGGAGTGGCCTCCAGACAAAAGCCACCTGCCTGTTGCTTACTGCAACTCTCCCTGGGCTCAGGGACAGCCCAGTTCCTGTTCACTTCTGTCTTCTGGGGGCAGTGCAGCTTGGTCAGCCCCTCTCCTCTGCAGTGTCTCTGACAACTCAGAACTCAAGTCCGCTCAACCTTGGGGCATCAATAAACACTCCTTGAATCTTCCCATTCCCAAACCAGAGCTAATCATGTAAACAAATGCACCCTGTAGTACAATTCCCCTCCAGAGAGCAAAGCTATAGCAACTGTGGGGCAGCAGGCTACGGTTCCTGAGAGAGCTTACCATGGCCTTATTCTCCTTGATATTCCTGGCCCTTTTCAGCAGAGCGTCTGAATTCTCCTGGCCCTCAGCCTTGGTGTCATCCTCGGACTCTGAGGCTGTGTCTTCCCCTTCCTTGGCCTGTCTGCAGCTTTTCTCTCTTCCAAGATCAGTCTTGCTGTCCACCAAGCGTGAGCTGTTTTTACCTGGTGTTTTCGCCAGTTTTTTGGTGGGGAATTGAAAGGCTACTCGAAGACCAAAACTGCTTCTTGTGGACCTGCCTCTTCTAGGTACGGCCTCCTCCTCCTCGTCTTGCTCCTCCTCACTCACCACAGATGCTTTGCCACTGTCACTCAGCTCTGACTCCAAGAGCTAAGGGAGAAAAGAGAAAGAAGAATGAAGACAGTCTGGATTCCACCTACCACAACTAAACCAAACGACTGTGTTTAAAACTATTCTAGGTAAGAATACACGTCCGTGGTACAGAAATGATCGACACATGTACGGGCCCCTGGGTTCAATCCCCAGCACTAAATATACACACAAAAAAAGTTACTCTGATAATTGCAGCAAAAAGTGTTCCCTTCCCGCTAATACTCTCTGATCTCTCTAGTCAAACACACACGAAGTTTGCTGATGAACACCTCAAAGCACAGGCAATCTACTTCGGAACCCTGGGCCTGTACACCCACTGACATGCTGCTGTGCCATTAGGGAACCAGGCTGGAAGCAGGACTCCTCCATAGCCAAGGAGCAAGCTGGCACAGCAAAAGAAAATGGTGTGTGCTACGGAAGTGTTATCAACAGAGAAAAACAGGAGAGGGGGCTGGGGGCGGGCCTGTCCGCTCTGGGGGCGTGTGAGCAAAGTTGCAGAAGAGCCCACTCCCCTGCCACACAGTGGACTCAGGATAGACAAAAGTGTGTGTGTGTGGGGAACAACTAAGTCAATCCTCCTGGTGACAGCCTGAAGACCAGACACCAGGGTGGGTCTGGTGACATCCTCCTCAGGGCACAATGGATCTTCTTCCCTTCCCTGTACCATGCATGCTACCTAGAGCTGAAGTGAAGGCAGACGGCTCTGCAGGCTGTGGCAGACAAGGCCTGTCAGCTCAAAGTCTCCCGGTGGTCAAGCCTACAGCCTACAACCTGGCCTGGTCTTACAGGTGACAGTCTAAACACACTGTCAGCAGTAATATGGTGATGCCACTCAGGTGACAGTGGGTGGCCCTTAAGGTTTGATGACTCTGAGAAATGATAACCCACAAAGTTTCTTTGAAATCCTGTGTTTCGAATGGCTCCTCCTGATGATCCCAATCTGAGCTGGACTCAAGGGAGAAATAAGAGATGGAAGAATGCTCAAGGTGAGCTCCATGGCTGTGCTTGCCTTGCACCTGGGCTGCACCACTGGAGGGTACGGTTACAGCAGCCGTCGTGTGCATGGGTGGGAAGCCAGGCAGAGGTAGCAATGCTCCTGGCTGGATGGTGGGAACCCTACTCTCCCCCTTTCCTCTTTTTGGCTTCCGCCACATGTTCCTGCCTTGTCCAGCAGCTGCAAAGCCACAGAGTTAACTGATGATGCCTTGGAACCTTCAAACTGTGAGCCACACACAGTAAACCTTTTCTCTCCGTACGTTAATTCTCAGGCGTTTCGCTCTAGTCACGAACGCCGACTAAGACAGCTCTTTCTTCAATGCACTAATCATGTTTGTGAGTGGACTTACACTGAGTTGTATCAGCTGTGACGAGCAATAGGGTGTGACCTAAATATACAGACTCTAGGGAAGGAAGCTTTGGGAGCAAGTTACTTTCCCTCCTTAGGAACGTAAACTCCATAACTAACTGGGTATCACTGAGTTAAAGAAGTGACTTAGAGAGGAAACCTGTCAAGTTTTGGGAGATCCTAAGTGTCTTGTCGGTGAAGAGTGGAGGGCAGAGTGAGGTGGGTGAGCCGGACCATTTACAGCACAGTGAGGTGGCCAGTGCTCTGGACTTGCATGCCCTAAGTGATACCTGAGGGCAGGAAAGGAACAGAGAAAGTCACCATTGCCACTAATTGTCTTTCTACAGGTTCTGTGTAGGAGCTGATGACATGGAATAGGCATAATAACCTCACCTTACCAGCAAAGAAGAAAGTGGTATATTCATTTTCGAATACATATTCTATTATTCAGATAGCACTAAACACTTCTGCTTTAAAAAAAAAAAACTTCTACTCATTTTGTTTCTATAAATCAGTTAGAAATACAAATTCTAAAAAATTGAAAAGGAAGGCTTACTGCCAAGTGATTCTTGGGACTGGAACCCAGGACAGAAAGGGCACACTGATGAAAACATGGTTAACACCTCATAAAAGTGTAAAACATAGTGGCAGCCCTGCACTAACTTTAGTTCCTAATTTGACAAACTAGGAACTAAAACGTTATAAACCTAAAACCATTCCAACAAAACGGTCTGACATGGTGGTTGGTGCCCGGAATCCCAGTACCTGGGATGCCAATGCAGAAGAAATGTTGTATGTTTAGAGCCAACCTGGGCTGTGGTATGAGATCTTGCCTCAAAACACTACCACCACCACCACCAACAACGCAGTGACTTAAAGTAACCTACGACTAAAATGATAGTGTGTAAAAACTAACTGGCCTCAATAAACAGAGTTAAAGGAAGAGATCCACCAGGAAGCCTTTTTAGAGTGCAGGACCAAGGGGAGATTCCCCAGGACCCTGATAGGCCTGTGTCTTCCTTATCCAGGCGGCAAAGGCCTGTCCCACTGTGCTCCATGACCCTGTTTTCACTAAATTAGCTTCTAGCCTAATAATGTGACCTCACACATTACAAGAGACAGCTTGCAGGAACATGTCACCCCAAAGACAGACTTAATAGATAAAAGAAGTTGAAGATGAATCTGAGGTAAACTGGGTGAGATGATGAAAGCCACCTAGGATATGCACGCCCCTGACTCCCAAGGTGTAGAGAGATTGTTTTCTCTATAAGAGAGTGTACCTGTGGACCAGGCAAAACCAGCTCTAGAGTAGCGATTTTTATATTATTTGGCTTCTACCAATAAGTATGTAATTAGATAGATAGGCCGGGCGTTGGTGGCGCACGCCTTTAATCCCAGCACTTGAGAGGCAGAGGCAGGTGGATCTCTGTGAGTTCAAGGCCAGCCTGGTCTCCAGAGCAAGTGCCAGGATAGGCTCTAAAACTACACAGAGAATCCCTGTCTCGAAAAATCAGGAAAAAAAAGATAGAGTTATCTTTTTATTTGTAAGGTAACATGTCTGTAAAAGGACACTTCAATGCAAGACTAGAAACATTACAGCCCACGCTCCTTTGCGTGGGCCACCACTTCCGTTACCTCTGGGTCACTGCTTACGTTCAGCTCACTCTCTGTAAATCCTTCAAAATCTTCAGCTTCTGAATCTGTGTCCTCTATGAAAATCCTCCTTAGCTCTTCAGTGAGGTATTTGGAATGGAAACACACATCCTGCTAAATTGAAAACACACATGAAAGCCAGACACGGAAGTATAGACCTAGGATCCCTGTACTCTGGTCCCTGTGCTCACACCCAGTCATGCAGTGACCCCTCATAAAGCCACATTTGGTTGACACCATTTCATTGCTGCCTTTCTCTGGCTTTAATTATATACTTCTTCAGACTCAGATATCTTTGGGGAGGGAAAAAAAGATATAATAGAAATATATAATAGTGGGAAAACTTGCAGGGTAGTGGAGAAAGAAATGCCTACAGTTAGCAGTAAGCTTAAGAATGTCCCCTATGAATTATAGGTAATTGGAATGGGTTTGCTCAGAGCTAAATTACTTCCTTCCTTTGTTGTTAGCTGTGGTGCAGCTGCAAAAAAAAAAAAAAGAAAAAGAAAAGAAAGGAGTTTCTTTCCAGAGAAACTTGAGTTGTGTTTAAGGGAGGGAGCCCAGGGTCAGCTACACACACTGTGCAAGTTGATGCCCTTTCTCTCAGCTGGACAAACTGAATCACAAGTATGTGGGTCAGGTGAGCATTAGACCAGGGTTGAAAATCAATGTAAGAACAAGTGTGGGGCTGGAGAGATGGCTCGGTGGTTAAGAGCGCTTAATGGTTTTGCAGAAGATACAGGTTCAGTTCTTAGTGCCCACACGGCTGCTTCGAACCTTCCCTAACTCCACTTTGAGGGTTCACGCAGCTCTTCCAAGTGGGGCACAACTACACACTCAAGCAAACACTCTTACACATAAAAATAAATCGAAAGAAAGAAACAAGTGCAACACAACCACTTGCTAAGGAAACCCACCAAGCACCGGAGTGCAGGAAACATCTGGCTAACCTCTGGCGGTTTTTCCAGGGCAACAAACAGCCTCAATGCACACATTCAATAAATGTCCAAAGATCCTATACAGAGTCTAAAAGAGAATGAGTCAAGCCCAGAGCAGCAAGTTCTAACCTTCCTGGCAATTTCTATCCTAGAGAAGGTTAGCAGTCCTGATGGGATTAAAATGGCTTTGCTACAAGCTTACTCTCACCTGGCTGTACAAAGCTAATCTCCACTGCACAGCCTCACTGACTGCTTGGGTAAAGGCTCACAGAGCTCTTGGCTTTCTGAAAGCTGCTCATTACGCTGCCAAGGCAAGACCAAGGAAGCAGTGTCTACTATGATTAAAGCAAGAGGAAATGGCAGAAGCAATTGTGTCATGAAAAAAGGACTGGATAGCAATGACCTGTGTAGCAGTGAGATGGATGTATTTCCAACTGTACCCGATAAACACCCACGGGTGCCTCCCATGCGTGGTGATGCAGAGTCCTACATGCCTGAACCCAGATCAAAGCGGCAGCCCAACAAAAGGTCAGCGCCGGGGAAGATAAAAAACACTGTGCCAAGTATGATCTCCTCCTTCAAGGAACTTGCAATCTGAGGAGTCAGACAGGCTCACAAGGACTTAGATAGAGGCAGAGACATACATTCTATCACAGAGGGGAAAAGGAATCACTCCAGTAGGGAGAGCCAGCTGACAGAAGAGTGGCTGTGAGGAGAGTTGGCCGGCATATGTGCTGTGCACAACAGGTAAGAGAAAGTGCCAGGGAGGAGGAGACTGGGAAGTGGTGTCCTGGATTCGGAACAGCCAGCCTTACCGAGCACTGTTTTCAATGTAGGACCGTGGCTAAGTCCTTTGTGTCCCAGAGCTTATTTCATCTGTACTCCACCAGCCCCTGGAGTCTGGAGTAAATTCAGTATCTGTACACAATATGAGTGCCATATTCACAGGCCTGGGGCCTGGCAAAGGAAGACGGGACTATGGACATAGTCGTCATAGCAGCAAAAACAGCAGATGTCTTTGATGCCCACAAGCCTTGCACCTTTCACTGTCCCTTGACCTTGTGGCTTAGGTACCACTCTCCCTCTCTAACCATGCATGGGGGACTGGGGGATTTCTGAATAACAACAGAGCCCAACCTAAGCCCAGTGCTTCTGTTACTCCCAGCAGGATTAGGTGATTCCACCCCAGGCTCCCCAAAAGTGGGATGACAGAAATCTTGTGCAAGACCACTACATGGCACCTGTCTCACAAGTCACTTCACTGCCGTGACCTGTGTGAGAGCATGAAGCAAGCCTGGCCCACCCTTGCCAGCTGTGTGAGAGGAGGGAAACACAGTCTTGCCATAGGAGACAGCTGGGGGAAGAAGACAGTGGATTTAATCCCTTCATCAACAAAGCTGTCTGTGGCCGGGAATTAAAGAAAGACGCAGGCAGCTGCTTCTGGAGACAGGAAGCTGAGACTCTGAAACACAGTACCCGCCATGCACCAAATCACCAACTGATGACTGCACTGAGATGAGAAAGTACCCCACACCCTGCTGCAGGCTCCCAGAGGGCCATGCCTGTCTGGAGAAGAAAGACTCCTACCTGTTTCTCCAGCTCCAGCGAGTCCAAACTCTGGAAGCTCCCTGACAGGGTTTCCATGGGAACATCATCCTGGAAACCCACAAACTCCTCGTCGTCACTGGGAGCATTGAAGATGGCCGCTACTTCTTTGGGGATCTGTTTTGGATGCAGAAGAGAAGGATGAAAGCGAGGTTGCTGGGGTTACTCCAGGTGGAACTAGCACATCGCATCCTTTACCACAGATGCTTGCAAAACCCCAGTTTCTCTTATTTCTTTTTAGGTATTTATGTTTTTATTTCTCTCCTTATTCTTCCTACTGTTTGCTGACAAGTTTCTTGTTATTAGAATTTTTTTATATTTTTTCTCTCGATTTTCTCTTTTCCTTCATAATATTTGCCTCTTCTCTTTATTCGTTCTTTCTGTGAGCCTTACTTCCCTATTTCCCACTACCCATGACCCTGTGTTTATTCTTTCATTTACTACTTCCACCATACCACACTCTCCATTGGTTCTGACCCCTTCCGTCATATGGTTACAGGTGACACATTAATGAGGTTTAGTAATTTTACATGGAAGTCTGTCTTTATGATTTAATTATTGCTGTCCCCTGAGTGGTACTGGAGCAGAGACTTCACGAGTGGGCTGTTCACTATGAAGATCCCCAAATAAAATCAGATGAGAAATCCACACCAACCATTCACAAGGCACAACAGGAACAAGAAGGCAACATGATGTCTCCAAAATGTTGTGACTTCCTCAAGCAGTGAATCCAAAGTCCTATGGTATCAAAGTACCAATGACAAGCTCAAAAGTTCACAACAAAACGAACACTAAACCTCAAAGACAATCTAAACAAGCAGACGAATGACATAAGGAGACCAATCTAGGCCCTGGAAAGGCCACCCAGCAACACAGGAGAGAAGTCAGCATCAAGGGTGAGAAAACCAGCATCGTGGATTAAGAAGGACAGCTTCGTGAAGAAGTGTGTCAAAGGCACTGAGAATTGAAAAACATAAAAAAAAAAAAGTCATAGAAATAAAAGGCTCAATGAATCAAGTAAGAGTAAGAACTCTTATAATCCAGAGATGACTTAACACTCCGTTGGCAAGACTGGGACTCAGTGTACAGTGCTTGCCTAATACATGTTAAGGTCCTATGTTCAATTCCCTACCACACACCCACACACAGGAAGGAGGGGGAGAAAAGAGAGAGACCCATCCATAGGGGAGAAGTAAAGAGGCATAGAAAATGGTCGATGAAACTAATAACACCAAGTTTCCCAAATCCAGGGAAAGAGAAGCCATAACATTTAGAAATTTAAATTTAATTGACATGACTAAAGATAAATCTTTCTACACATATCACACTCAAGATTGAAAACAAGAAAGTTAACAACCAACACCAGAAGGTGGGGGGGGGGCACCAATTCAGCAATAAAGAGTAGCATGACACCTCTCTCACCAGCAACCCTCAAGACCAGGTGAGCATGGGACATTTTAAGCCATGAAAGCTAGTAACTGCCAACCAAGAGAACCATACCTACCACCTAAGTTACCTTTTAAAACTGACTATGAAACAAAAACATGTCAAGGCAAGCACAAATTAAAGCTGTCCATTACCAAGCTAACACTGTATTAGATGGTTAAAGGTATATCAAACACAGAAGACACTGTCAATCATCAGAACACAGAAAAGAATAAATTTAATGAGAAGAACAGATGAATAAAGGACAGCCAAAAAGGAAAACATTACACCAAACACAGTAAAGCAGGGAGCCCCGAATACTAACTGGAGGTTGGTGGGGGATGAGGAGAGCAGAGCAAATCCTAATCCAACCAAGGAGAAAAACAACTGGAACATTATGGGAATTAGTAAACCTCTCCCATAAAATCCGAAACGTAATCTTAACTCACCACTAAAAAGGCAACATGCCAACCCAGCAAATTAAAAAACAAGATCCAAATGTCTCGAAGAAACACAAATCATTGGAAACAAACAACAAAACAAAACTCAATCTGAAAGTCAAATGACTTATGTATTAAGTGGAAGAAAGCTGAAAATGATCTAGCATAACTATTACTTTATCTGGTAAGTAAACTATTACTATATCAGACTTCAAATCACAATCAGAGAAGATAACGGAAGCCACTACACATTAACAATCGCCACGAAATTCATCAAGATGTAACAGTTGTAAATACGTGTATGAACTACATCTTTTGGGCTCTGAATTTCACAAAACAAGCATGAATGGACATAGAAGGTCAGAGAGGCTCCAATAAAATAAAATGAATGAATTTGTTTACCCCCCCTTTTTTTAAACAGGTTATCCAAACAAAGGACATTATAGGCCACAAAGCCAATCTCAACAAACACAAATTATTTCAAATATGTCTTGTGCCAACTAAAATAATGAAGCATAGACTCAATAGAGTGGGTGTTGTAGAATATTATTTTAAGATGTGTTACAACTGTTTATGTTGTGGAATGTTTGTTTAATGATGCAAAAAAGTGTGTTGTATTTGTTTAACTCTGCGAAGCTGTGTTGCTTTGCTCGTCTAAGACACCTGATTGGTCTAATAAAGAGCAAGGCAGAAGAAAGGATGGGTGGGGCTGGCAGGCAGAAAGAATAAACAGAAATTTGGGAGGAACAAGATCAAGGAGGGAGAAAAGAAGTGGCCAGCCACCCAGCTACAAAGCCAGACATGGAATAAGAAGCAAAGAGAAGATATACAGCAATAGGGAAAGGTAAAAGCCCAGAGGCAAAAGGTAGATGGAACCTGGCAAAAAAACAAGCCAAGCTAAGACCAGACATTTGTAAGAGAGAATAAGTTTCCATGTGTATTTATTTGGTAGCTAGGTGGCAGGTCCCACAAAGAGGAAAAAATCTCCAACAACTACTACAAGCAGGCTCTTTGGGGGGGGGGGACAAAGCATTTTAAATAGGATTGGTGAACCTAGTGTTAATATAACAACAACAACAAAGGTCCAAATTAGTAAGATCAAAGACAAAAAGGGAGAATTTACAATAGATTGCAATGAAATTCAGGGGATCATTAGAAAATATCTTTTAAAAGCTATAACCTAAAACACTAGACAATGTAGAAGAATTTTAATAGATAAACTCCTAGCCTCATATGACCAGCCATTTAAACACCAGGCAATGAAACTACAGCAGTAAGTGCCAAAGAGAAGTCCTGGATCAGACTGACTTGTTTGAGATGACTCAACACCAAAGCTTACCTTTTCCACAACAGACAGTGAAGGAATGTGACCAGCCTCACTTTATGAAGTCAATAGCATCTTGATACAAAGCTAGATAAGGACACAACAACAAATAGACTGATATCCTTAATGAACATAAGACCATAATTCTCAATAAAATTTGTACAAAACAAATTCAAAAATAAGGGACCAGCAAGATGGGAGTTCATAGGGCACAGAGGTGGCCTTACTGATCTTTTGCTAAGCAGACATGGTATCAAACTGCCTTCAGCATACATATCTCTGTAACTGTAGATCAGTACAGCTCTCAGTTCTCATCAAAGCTTCTCTGTGCAGTGGATGGTAGTCAACAAAGAAACTCACAACTGGTCAACCAGGAGACGGTGAGCGTCTAAGGCAGCAGTTCTCGGCCTGTGAGACACCCTGCGAGTCATCTATTTACATTACCACTCATAATAGCAGCAAAATTTCAGTTCCGAAGTCGCATCAAACGGTCCCAGCATTAGGAAGGTTGAGAATCACGGGTCTTAGAGGTGCTGGGCCATAAATGGAGCATCTATGTCTGTATAAATCCTTTTTCTGTTGCTGTGATAAAATATGACAGAATGCAACTTAAGAAAAACAGTCACTTAGGCTTACAGTCACAGAGGAAGAGTCCAAAATGGCAGGGAAGGCATGGCAGCAGATCAGGAAGCTAAGAGATCATTGGGGGGGGGGGACGACAGAAAGAGATAGACAGAAGAGGAAGAGGGGCAAGGTTATAAACTCTCAAAGCCTGCCCCAGGGACATGCATGTCCTAAAGGGTCCATATCTTCCCAAACAGTGCCATCAACTGGGAACCCAGTGTTCAAATATGTGAGCCTACAAGGGACACGTGCATTCAAACCACAACACCACACCTCCTTGTACCAAGATTCAGACGACATTGTAGAAGAGGGGTCAGAAAGACATTTAAGAGCCAGAGGTTGGGAAAGACTAGGGCAAACAGTGTCTTCTAGTGTCCCTGAATGCACAGTGTAAGATCAAGCTACTCAGCATCCACAGGTGGATGTGTGTGTGTGTGTGTGTGTGTGTGTGTGTGTGTGTTGTGGGGGGGTGTCACCAACTCCCACCCCTCACCCAAGCCCTATTAACAACTGATGGCTTCTAGGGAAGGTAGAGTCCGTTTTCATTAGGGATGTGGCCTCTGTAGGTTGACCTGTCCCAATGGATGGCCACACATCCATAATTGCAGGAGGAGTACAAATTGGACTTGGCCAGCAATTTAAAAAAACAAAAGGACATGACATTGAAGGGAGTAGGAAATCTGTCTGGAAGGAGTGGGAGTGAATTTGACCAAAATACATTCTATGCATGTATGTATAAAAAAATCAGTTAATAAAAATTAAAATAAGTAAAACGGGGAGGAGAAATGGAAATCGCATACCATAACCAAACTGCTTCATTCCAGGAATGCAAGGGTACGCAAATCAACACATGCAAACCATCCAATGTCATCCAGCACATAAATGCACTTCAACAACAAAAATTACTGGGTTATCTCAACAGACCATCAACCAAAAAGACCTCTGAAAAAATTCAACATCTCTTCATAATAAAAGGCAGAAGACCTAGGGATAGATCGGAAGGACATGCATCAGCATAATAAAGATAGGACAGACCTACAGCCAACATTATACTACACAGGGAAACACTGAGGAGTACAACACTGCTGTAAGATTAGGAATGATTCAAGGGTACCCATCCTCTTCATTCTAAATCAATGGAGTGTTTGAAATCTAAGCTAGAACAGAAAGAATAGGGATATGAATACCAACCAAAGAACCAAACTACCCTGTGCCAATAACATGATCCTATACTTAAAAGGCCCTAAAGATCCCACCAGAGAACCCTTAGCTCTCATAAACATTTTAAGCAGGGTGCAAAA